GTCTCATTGGCTCTTATGTCTTGTCATTCCATGACTCCCTTCCAATACTTAATCTGCCCTCATGGCTTCAGTCATGTGTGAGGTCTGAAAAACAGAAGCTGAGACAGAAGAGCAAGTGGGAAGGGGGCAGGTGGAGGCTGAGAGAGCCATTAGACTGTAATGCCTTCCTGACCCCAAGTGAAGAGGAGAGGAGAGGAAAGTTGAAAACGTCTGAGACTGCTGTGCCAAAATGTCTCAGACTGTTTGGCAAGTCACTGAAGAGTCCTCAAACCTAGTGACTCATCCGAAGAGTCTCATCTCCCTTCCATACTCAGTCATTTTTGGGAGCAGCCTCAGGCTTAGACAAGATTTGGGGGATTTTTGTCTATTAGATTTGGGGTCATTAGTCTATTTTCTGGAAAGTTTGTGAAGTCCTTTCCAAACCAATAGATGGATGAGAGAATAATAATACACCAACTTTGCACATTAATGTAATCATTATTCAGAGGTAAATGGGGGCAGGGCAAATTCCCTTGCTCTTTGATTCCAAAATTAAACCTAATATCTAATTTTTCTAAGAGATTTAACACATATATCAGGAAGCCTACACATCTCAATTTATAGGACTAATTTACCCTCAATTGTTTTTATAACTCAGGTATGTCATTTAACATGACAACTTTCTTATCTTCATAAAGTGGGTCATTTTAATAATGCATAATAGTTACTGAGAATTTTCATTTAAAACTCATTATTTATGTTACATCTTAAAGGAGGCTTGAGTGAAACACAGGCAGCACTCTTTCTTTATGACTATAAGATGTTATATGTAACTTTCTAAGTTTAACCAGGTTGCTTAGGGGGAAAAAATGCTGATTCTAGAAGCATCTTCTGTTAAAGTATCTTAAGTTCAGGAGAAACTGAACAAATCTGACAATGTAAACTTCATACCTACTTATGCTACAACTTCATGAAACTTGGACTCTGAGTGTCAGTCTTCCATGACTCCTAAAAACATCAATTTTACCACCAAGTCTCATAAACTTGGGAATCCGAACATTCTTATTAATTATTGCATAAGTCATACCCCAAACCTGCACAGAGGTCAAAGTCTCTCCCATCGGCCTTAATGCTATACCATTTTATCCAAGCAGTAGCTTTGCTCCTGTTAAGAGTCAAGCTCTCTTTTCAGATGCTACCTCAGGCCACCCCAGGTAATCAACTCCACACCCACCACTTCCACCCTCAGGAGAATCACAGTCCCGCTGGGTTCATCCTGGACCCTGATTCAGAGCAGAAGCAACCCAACATTTCCCTGGAAACCACAGCAGCAAGAGAAAAAAAATGGTCTCCCAGTCTGATGGGAGGTTACCATGTTCTGCGCAGACTCCCCTCGCTAGTCACCCGTGGATGGAGGAAAATAAAATAAGTCATTCCAGACACTTCTTGATCTGCCAGGAAAAGGAGGTGGTGAGCCCCTATAGTGGAGAATGCCCTGACCCCTTTTCTTGAAGTGGCTTTTATTGAGAACGATGTGCCCAGGGGTATACAGCATGGACACAAAGCTCATCAATCAATGTCAAAAGGCTATGATTGAAGGAACACAGAGATCTGCCTCAGGTCAGGGTCTGGTAGAGAGGGTGGTGCCCATTTGACCCTCAAACCTGGGAAACTGATCACATTCTATGCTCGACTCCAAACATCAGTATTCATTAATTCAAGGGCATTCTTAGCAAAGTAAGTTTCATAGGATTTAATGCAATCTTTTTCCAGGCCTAACTGTCCCCAGTTTATACCCGATCCAGTTTAGGGCTGTACCTGCCTTTAGTATTGTTTTGCTGACCTAGTTAGGCAGTGGATAAAGCAGCCAAGAGATAAGGAGACTTCTTTCAGATAGAACGAGGTCTCTGGCCATGACAAAGCCAAGGGGCGAGGTCTTTTGCCCCTTTTCTGTGTCCTCCAAGTCCTTCCCTGATGGCCCATATGCAACTGTGCCTGTCTTAGGTTGTCCTTGCCATCGAGACGTCTTACCCATCATTGACTAACCAGCCATCCTCTGGGGCCAAGCAGGGTGATATGAGGGGAGCAGGGGCTGCGCCCCTGCCAGGGGGAACAGGTTTTGTCTCCTCAGTGGCCTATTTTCCCAAGGGCTCCTTGCTCAGCTCCAGCCGTGGGGCCCACTCAGCTGTTGGGGAGGCTACAGTTCCTGAAACCAGGAGGGACAGTTCCCAACACCAGGCTAGTCCCTAATCTTGCTCAGTAAGGTTTTCTTAAAGATATAATTTGATGCACATTTCAAGAGGATAGGTCGACTAAGATTAATGTGACAGGTGACCCAATAGCCTCTCTGGTTTTGAATATGTGCTTACCCTTGTGAGGGTGGAAAAAGTTTTCCTCTACTCTTTTAGGTTCTATCAGCTGGTCTAATAATTAAATTGACATGAGGCAGGTTAACAAGAAAAGTAAAATAAAATTTAATTATATGCATATGTGCTGGAACCCCACAAACAGTTCAGAGACAGAAAGGTAAAATGAGTATATATGACAAATAGCTAACGAATGAGGTAAGGTGTCCTGAGGCTTAAACTCTTTAAAGGAGAGGTAAAAGTTTCTCTTCAGCCCACAGAATCTTCTGCTCAAAATAATCCACATGCCAAAGTGGCTCATCTTGGGAAGGCCTATTTTTAACCCTTCACCTTCCTTTATTTCACCCTTACCTTGCATTTTTCTTTATTCTTGGGGCTTTTCATCTCATCAGGATGTTTCTCATCAGGATATTACATCAGTTCATACCTATACACTGATAGTTGCCACATCTCTGTCTTCCTCCATAGGTGGTTCAGAATCTGGGAAGCTGTATGTTCCAGGTGTCTTTTTCAGACAGTTTCTACTGGTGTCACCCAAGGCAAGTGGCAATGTGTAGAGTATGTGAAATCTGGAATCAGATGGACAACTGTGGCTTCAGCTTTGCAACCCAGCATTGAATGTTAGAAGATAAAAAACAGCAGAACCCTGGCTGGTGGCTCTGTAGATTGAGCATCATCCTGTCAAACAAAACGTTGCTGATTCGATTCCCAGTCAGGGTACTTGCCTGGGTTGTGGGCCAGGTGCCCAGTTGGGAGCATGCAAGAGGCAACCAGTCGATGTTTCTCTCACACATCGATGTCCCTCTCCCTCTCTTTCTTCCTTCCTCCACTCTCTCTAAAAATAAATAAATAAAATCTTTTTTAAAAAAAGACAGCAGGAGAAATTTAGGAAGAACTTCACTGTGCTCTTGGAAGACGATGATGGCGGGTCTGTCATGTTCCTTGTCTTGGTCCTCAGGTACAGTTCAGTGTGGTGGTATCAGCCTTCCCCCTAACTGAACCGCCCAGCAAGGCTGACCTCGCTGAAGTGGTCCAAACCTTGCGGTGGAGGACAAGCGATTTTCCGGTAAGTTGAAATCTCCTTTTTCCTTCAAGTTTTAAAGCACCTTCATGGATTTCATTCCTTTCCTTCTCTTTATTGGAGTTTGTCTTCATTCTTGATCATTTTTCCTCCTGCATAGATTCCTTTGTTTCTCTTTTAGCATCACCATCACCATCTCATATAAAATGCCATTTCCTTTAGGACAGCTATTCCATTTGTGAATGCTCTTACAGAGCTACTGATATTCATGTGTGGGAGGTAAAAATATTTAATGCTTTTGCTCCCACCTTCCAGCTGGGCTGATAATCAAATTAACACACATAGATTAACAGGAGAAAAATAAAAAATGAAAATTTTAATACATGCACATGGGGAAATCACATATGCATAAAAATCCCAAAGACAGTGAGGCAACATGGAGTATATATGACATTTTGGACAAAGAAGTGGAGAAATGAGTGTTAGATTTTAGAAGTGCAAATGGGCAATTTACTGGAAGTTGAGGAAGAGCAGAACACACATGGCAGGCATATTCTTGCTAGACAAGTCTGCAACAACGGGACACAGGGAGTATCTAGCTAACAGGTCCCTTCCTGAAGCCCTCTTACTTATCATACTTAATTCAAATTTTTAATCTAAGGCAGCATCCTAAGAGTCCCTTCCTAAAGTAGGTCTTCCCATCTAAATCTCTTAGGCAGGAAAGGAGAGGATCAAAGGATCTTTTTGAGCTTTTTCTTTCTTTAAAAAATAAAAAGCTTAAAATCAATATTTCATAAAGGTAACTTTCGGGTGGCAAAACTTTGGTTCCCTTATGTTTTCATGTAATTCAGGGCTTCGGCTCCTTTTCCCCTTTGTGAATAGACACTGGTAGAGAAGAACACAAGCTGGGCACTGCCTTCTCTTGCAAGCCAGGGAGCTGGTCCTTAAGGTAACGTTCTTTCTTCTTCTCCCCCCAGCTCCAACTTATTTGTCACCAGTTTACTGGTACTCTCTTGAAAACAAAAGAGACTGCCATACAAAGGTAAGTGTGACTCTCAGGATAGTAGGCATGTCATTATGTTGTGGGTGGTGGTGGGCAAACTAGGGCCTGTGGATCAAACCTGGCCTGCCACCTGTGTTTGCAAGAACCAGGCTTATTTAAGTGTCTGTTGGGTAAGGCTTCTTTTACACTCCACATGGCAGAGTTGAGTAGTTGGGACAGAAACACATTTTGGCCACTCTGCAGGCCTTTAAAAAAAAAAGTTTTCTGACCCTTGATCCAGGACATGGCTGAGCCAAAAACTTTATCTCTTTGGGATTGTATGAACCAGTGTATAATCATGAATTTAATTGTCCTGGAGTGGGATTTTTGAGAGTAGAGGTTGCTGACAAGGAGAGCACCATCTTATGTGCCAAGTTCCTGCCTTTCTCCCACTGCAAAGAGAAGCTCTTTGTTTGGAGTATTAGAGAGGCATCCAGCTTAACTTAAAGAATGTAGTTAAAAATTACCAGAATTGAATGTTAAAGGAACCATCAATTGACTGAGTGCAGAGATTGACTTATGAGAGTAGACCACTCAGGCCCAGATTTTTTTTTTTTTTTTAATTTCCTTTGATTTCAGGTAAAGGAGACACCACCGCTGGACCCTTGACCTGGTTTTGTCTTTGCCCCAGTGAGTATTACTCCTGCCTTTCCCAGCATGCAAAGATCTGAGCTCAGCTCTGTCTAGGACAAGCGAGAGGCAAAGCTAAGCCACCCTCCGCTGCTTCGTGTCCCTATCCAATTTCTTCTTCGTGGATTCCCTGCTCTCCCTGCCCCCTGCTCCTGTGCTCCCTTATCCTTAGCCCTTCCTGACCCTATCACTCTTAGTTTTTTAGTTTTATGATCTGTGGTTCTTTTGTCTTACCTCATGTTTTTTATGTGTGTTTACAGTGTCCCCATGAACTTCCTGGTCCCCAGTTGACAGCCTCTAAGCCCCTGGCCTGTAGCTTTTCCCAGGCTTACCACCCCATCCCCTTCAGCTGGGTACGTACCCTGGGAATGTTACAGCAGGGAGGAGATAGCTTGGGAAGGCAGGATGAAAACCAAACCAGAGGTGGAGGAGCAGGAAAATTCAGAGAGTAGCCTGGAGATCGTAGGGCCTGAATGTGCATGACGCAGAATATGGAAAGGGCTGCAGGAATGGGGGTCAAAAATTTTTTCCCATGTCTTTTTCCCTGTAACAGTCTCTCTATCCTTACCTTAGAACAAGAAGCCAAAGGAGGAAAAGTTCTCAATGGTAATCCTTGCCCGGGGGTCTCCAGAGGAGGCCAGGCGCTGGCCCCGAATCACGCAGCCCGTCCTTAAACGGCCACGCCATGTGCATTGTCACCTGTCCCGATGGGCATATGCAGCATGCTGTGATCACAGCCCGCCGGCATGGCAGGTACAGAGGCTGTGACCCAAATTAGTGGGAGGTGGCCGGAACCTGCAGCCCTCAATGGCCGCTCTGTTTCACAGGGATTTGTATCGCTGTGCCCGTGTCAGCTCCTGGGGCGATCTTTTACCTGTGACCACGCCGTCTGAGCTTCCTCCGTCCCCTGCTGAAGATCCCCCTGAGAGCTGACAAGGATCTGTAACAAGAGTGTTCTTGTATCATGCCTGCCAAGGCGAACGCTACCTGGTATCCAGGATGGGAGTGCTGGTATCCCTGTATGTCTGCATTTGTTTGAGGTTTTAATAATAATTCAACATTTTCAAAGAATGGAAATGGATCTTGTGATTCTTAAAAGATATAGAGGTCAGTTGTCACAGCTGTAATCAAGCAAGTCCTCAGAGTTTCAATGCCTTTCTTCCCACACAAATCTCAAGCTCGCCCTCTCCTATGAGAATCCTGCTCCTTCCACCAGAGACCAGGACTTCGAGGGGAAGTGATCTGGGGTAGTGGGGAAAACGGCCCCCAGCACTCTGAGAACTGGCTCAACAGGTCTCGAGGTTGTTAGGACACCTGAATAGGGGACCAGCAGCTGCTTAGCCTCTGGTTTTTCGCCCTCCTTCCTTTTCTCTTCATCTCTCTCAGGGCTTCTCAGCTCCCCCAGAATTCGCCTCATGAGTTTTCCTCAAGAACTTATCCCATCCGGACTGAATCCTCCATCTCCACCCCCAAATGTCCAGGCAGGTCCTTCAGTTTGCTTGATTCATTTCTGTTTTCCCCTCAGCCTTGCTGTTTCAGAGCGGGAGCAACTTTCTTTGAATCAAAATTCTCAGTCCCTCTCCCAAAATATGCATCAGGAAATTGGCACTGTCAGAGAGGTAACAGAATCAATGTTGTCATATACTAGAAATCTCAACGCCTCATTAGACATTTCCATGCCTGGAGGTATTTTCCTGGGGTTACAGGAAAGGGGAGTCCCCTCATGTACTAATTCCCAGAGTGGCAGCAACAGCACTCCTCAGCCCCACCTCCTTCCTACCTCCTGGAAGCTCCAAATCCCCTCTGAAAGGATATGGTTCAGGTACCAGCATAGCAACCTATAAGCCTTGGGTTAGGGTAGAGAGAATATGGAAGGCTAATATCAGATTTTCTGAGTGAAGCAGGACCAGATTATCCCCAACACAACATAGTTGGTATGTAGCTACCACAGACTGGATTAGACCAGCCCCAGGCACCAATCAAGACAGTCCACAACCCTTGGCTTATTCATGGACTGAAGAGAAGGCAGCACAGGGCTATGCCTGGCAGGGAATCTGGAATTTCTAGTAGCCAAGTTCAACAGGGTGTAAGCCAGGGGAGGGGCCTCCACGTAGCTTCCTGTTGGGCAGGAAGCTATACAAGGCTGCTCAAGCAGAGGCAGCACCAAACAGAGAGGATCCAACAGCCTCCTGAAACCTGGGGAGTAGACACCACAGCTTTGACCTCTTAAGGCACGACTCCTGCTCCAAAGCTTGTAACTCCATTTGTCATCTGAGGTCTCTGCTTGTCCTGTACCCCAAGGATGGAGCCACTTCTCGGAGTAAAAATTGGCTGCCTGTTTGCCCTGCTGGCTCTCACCCTCGCCTGTGGCCTTACTCCCATCTGCTTCAAATGGTTCCAGATTAAGGCAGCCACAGGTACAGCCCTTCTGCATCTTTGGCCCATAACCTAAGTCTGACTTCAACCCTGTCACCCTATCCTGACACCTTGCTCTGATTCTCTGGCTACCCCAAGCTTGGATGTTGGACGCTGCCTGCTGCTCTTCAGTCACTTTTGTCCATCTCATTTCGTCACTCATTGTCAGCTGGATTGCCACTCTTGCTTTTCATTAGGTCGTCACCACCGGGTCCTCAGCCTCCTGGGCTGCCTTTCTGCGGGTGTCTTCCTAGGGGCAGGGTTCATGCACATGACTGCTGAAGCCCTGGAGGGAATTGAATCGGAGATCCAGAAGTTCATGATGCAGGTGAGCCGCTGAGTAGCAATGCTGAGAGGCCAGAATGATGAGCAGAAAGAAGCACGGGGAGAAAGGGGGAAAGGATGGAGCCAAGGACATGGGTGGACCAGGAGGGAAGATGACAGCGCGTGTGTTCTGTGGAATGATGACAACGGGCCAGACTGAGCTTTAAGGACAGCAGTGGGGCTGAAGGGACGGGAAGCTGAGCTGCCCCATCCCCCATCTAATTTCTGCTTTTCTCTCCCTAGAACAGGACAGAGAGTGCGGGAAATTCTTCTGGTGATGCTGATTCACCTTACGTGAGTATCTCTCACCGCCAACCTGGAGGGTGAGGAGAACCAGAGACTCTCATACCCAGGCCCTTTTGAGGCGAGACTGTGAGGAATGCCAGGGATCCTTCTGGTCCTCGGCTCAGACACTGCAGGGAAGGGAGGAGCCAACCCAGTCCTTTTGGGCTTATGGAACCCCAGACACATTCTTAGTCTTTATTCTCTCCTTCTTCCCCTGGACACTTAGACATGCTCCCCATATCTCACCCCTGCTGACACTGTGTCCCTTTTTCCCGCTGCGTTCTCGTTGCATGTCCATGTCCCGTCCCGGCTTCGTTCCCCCACCCTTTCTAATGCCCTAGTCCCACATTTCCATTCTCTCCAGTCTCCCATCCCACCTCCTCCCACTGCGCTTTCTTCTTTCCTTTCCTGACCCATAGCCCCCCTCTCTGTTCCCAGACAGACTATCCCTACGGAGAGCTCGTCATCTCCCTGGGCTTCTTCTTCGTCTTCCTTTTGGAGTCCCTGGCATTGCAGGGCTGTCCTGGAGCAGATGGAGGATCAAAAGTGCAGGAAGAGGAAATGTGTGGGGCTCATGTCCTTGGCCTCCACAGTCACGGACCTCCCCCCGCCCCCTCGCGGAGTCCCTTTCGAGCCCTCGTCCTCTTGCTCTCACTCTCCTTCCACTCAGTGTTCGAAGGCCTGGCTGTGGGGCTGCAGACAACAGTAGCCGCTACCGTGCAGCTCTGTCTTGCTGTCCTGGCTCACAAGGGGCTCATAGTGTTTGGGGTAGGACTGCGGCTGGTGCAGACAGGCACGGGCTCCCGATGGGCCGTGTTCTCCATCCTGTCGTTTGCTCTCATGTCCCCCCTGGGCCTGGCCCTAGGGCTGGCTGTGGCTGGAGGCGATGCCGAAGGGGGCCGAGGCTTAGCCCAGGCTGTGTTAGAGGGTGTGGCAGCTGGCACCTTCTTATACGTCACCTTCCTAGAAGTTCTCCCCCGGGAGCTAGCTGGTCCTGAGGCCCCTCTGGTCAAGTGGGGCTGTGTAGCTGCTGGTTTTGCCTTCATGGCCTTTATTGCCTTGTGGGCCTGAGAGAGTCCTGACTTTTCTGGGGACCCATCTAAAATGCCGTCCCTACCACCAGGAGATGCCCCCAGAAGGCTTCAGCCCTCAGGCATTTCTTCACTGAGACTGAGTGGCATTCACTGGACAGCATTCCCACGAGCTGGATCCCAGATTTTCCTAACGGAGATACCACTGCCCATCCAGGACTCAGAAAAGGATGTTTATGTTTGGTTGAGTGCTCATAGATTGGAGAATTGATAGAAAGACCACTGCTCCAGATTTGACTCTTGTTCCATTTTTGCTACTATGTGTAATAAAATGTCCATTTTAGCCTCCCCTTCAGCCATGCTATACTTCATTCCTCCGGGCTGCCTGCGAGCTGCCCAGTGGAGTGGGGAGCGGGAAGGGTGAGTGCTGGATGCAGCCTGCGCTTCTGGAATCAGGGCCCCGGGCCAGTTTGTCATTCGCAGTCAGGCCCCCCGGACATGGGAGCATTGCTGAAATTCCAACAACCCTGCTCTCACCTTGCCTACAGGTATTGAGATAAGAGGTGTAAAAACAGAAAGCGTGAGGATCTAGGTTTTTTCCTGCACTAACCACACCCACCCACTCCCAGTGCCCAGCATCAGCCACCTTACAGACTCTTGAGATCAGGCTCCATGGAGCCTACTTCCACCTGGTTTCTATTTTTCACACTGAGCCCTGTGTGGCTTTGGGGACAGGATTGCTCTTTGAGTTTTTGTCTCCTTCCAGCAGTCTCGTGCTCTGGAATTAAAAAGCAGTGTGTTTGGAGAGGTAAAGTACAGCACAGGGAATATCATCAATAATATAATAACTATATACGGTGTCAGGTGGGCACTGGATTTATGGTACTAGATTTGGTAAGTTATAGAAAGGTCTAATTACCATGTGTGCACATGTTGAAACAAATATAATATTCTATGTCAATTGTAATTGAAAAAATTTTTTAATTGATAAAAAAAGAAGCAGCAGCAGCAGTGTGTTTGAGAAGGGACAAAGGCGCCAGATAGATTCCAAGGGCGATTACTTGGCTCTGCCATGACGCGGTGGCTTTCCTCGGCCTGCCCTACCTCCCGCTGTGCCTCTGGCCCCTCTCCATTGGACCACTGGTCTTTCAGGTGAGTAACCCCTACAATGTGTTGCTTCTCTAAAAAACTGCACAAGTACAAAAACTGAAGGTCTGGAATTGAGGAGGAGCAGGACGGCTGTGGTCCCGCCCCTGGCCCGTGGGGTGGAGGAATATCTCAGGCACGGAGGAGAGACGGGAAGGGAAGTGTGCCCTGTGAGCTCAGGCTCACGCACCCATTTGCCCCGTCGAATACTCTCCGTGTAGAGGCCCAAGTGGCCTTCACATGGGCAAGGTCTCCTGAGTTTCACTCTCGTCTCATTTCATTCCTGTCTTCTGTCCATCCCATTCCCCTCCCCACAAATTAAGGTGTATAAACCTCATCACCAGCCCAGCTCACGCTGCCTGGGATCAGTGAAAAGCCGAGCTAAAGGCAAAACTAAATAAAAATGTCTGACACAGGAAATAATTTCCCTGAAGCAGCATCCTGTTCTGTTTCCCTTCACTGTTAAACGCACTCACTCATAACACACTCAGAAGAGGGCCTCGGATGCTGTTATAGTAACAGAGCTGCCACACTGAGCATCTGCCATGTGCCAGGCACTCTGCTGTCACTTCCACATATATTCTCTCCCCTTCCCAACCCTGCCAGGGAGATGTTATCCCCGTGGTTGTAAGTCCAGGGAAACACACTCAAAGTTAAATAACTTGATCGCCTAACTGGACTTCAAACCCACGTTTTTGTAATGCTGAGAAAAGCTCCAAGTATAGATTCTCTTCTCCTTCTTACCTTTACCTGCCCCACCTTTACCTTACCTGTACCTCCTGCCTTATATGTTAGGGTCTCCGGAGAAAGCAGAGAGCACATTGGATAATTGAGGCAAGTTTAATACAGGGAGTGTGTAGAAGGTGTGGGCAGAGTTAGGACAGAGCAACAAACGCTGGTGCGACACCCTGGGGCTGAGTAATAGCAATGCTGGTACCTGGGCTGAAGAGAAGGAACAGTTCCAGAAACTCGAGAGAGCCACCCGCTGAGCGCTGCGGGTCCTGGTAGCGAGAACAACCAGCCTGCAGGGGCTCGGCAAGGAGTGCTCTGAAGCCTCACCTCCGTCCCTGCTGCTACAATTTCACTGTTTGGGCACCTTCGGAGACTTGCCCCTTAACATCGCTCTGGGAGTTCCACACTTTTCAAACTGACACCTCAAGGCTCTCATCACTGTATTCTCCAGTTTTATTCTCCTACCCATTGGACCTCCCTTAGCTATCTTGGACTAATGTCCCTAAAGTCAGGGAAACACATTCCTTGAGAATGGGAGGAAGAGGAGTCCTGAGGCTGAAGCAGAGACAAAAAGTAAAGAGTTCGTGGTTCAGCTTCTGTGAAGTCACCCCACCTCTCCTCTGAGCCTTTGAGCTCTGATCTTGAGAATGGGCAGGACCATGCACAATGGTTATCAGGCCCTCCCTGTGTCCCGAACGCAGAATCACCAAGAGCAATTGGAGACTCAGGAAGCGAACTGGGAACTGGGGAAAGTCAGGAAGAACCATGCCAACCACAGGGGGGCACTGCCTCCCCATGGACTCGCCTGCAATGTCTGGGACCAAGGAAGTAGGGAGGTCAGTCAAGGACAGCAAACGCCTCTCCCTTCTTCCCAGCCGAGAGCATCTCTCCCTCTGCCTAACTCTTGGGTTTTGTATCCAGGGACATCTGTAGGACAGACACACACCATCCCCATGGCAGGTACACACATACACCTACTCACATAGGTGCACAGGAATGGGTTTTTCTCCCTCTTATGAAGGTTATCCTGCTAATAAAACAGTGTTATCTGTACAGTTTAATGTACTGAGAAGACCAGCCTTCCCTTCCTGCTATTGGCAGTCAAGGCTGATGCTCGTTGGAGTTCTCTGCCTTTTCTTTGTAGTTTTGTTTACCTAGATGCTAGGTGGGCTGATGATTCCAATTATGCTGCATTTAAGCACCTGCCACCTGCCCTGTGTGTGGTCACCCAGTGCCCTCACCCCTTCTGATCCTGGCCTGCTGCATTTAAAATAGACTTGGACCTATGAGAGTGATGAACTGCTCAAGAATCAAGAGCATGTTCCATGCCCCACTTCCACGTCAGCGTGTCAGCACCAGACATCAAGCTGCACTAGTCGTCAGCTCAGTTTCACTGAGAAGAGTGTATAATTGCCTGTGGGGTTTCCATAAAGTAATCTGGCAAATGACCTTGTAACATTCCATCCGCAGTACTCTGGCCACTAATACTATAAAGTGCCTTCTCATTTTTACTTCTTGTGCCTCAAGAGTTCATGAATCAGCCTACAACAGCCACAAAATATCTGAAGTTCTCTTGATGATTAGTGTTCATAATTATTGAGAACCGTCTCAGAGAATCACAAATATAGACTAGTTAATGCCCAAATTCTTGGATTCTTATGGGAGGAGGAACTCCTGAGAGGAAACCCTGGTTGCTGTGACTCACCTGAAGGAGATTGGGGTCAACTGAGTGGGGTCAAGGCCTCTAGAAACTGTGTGAGGCATGGTCTGCTGATTTATTGAGCCACCTAAAATGGAATCTAGGTGACCCCACAGAGGATCTTGCAGAAAGGTGGTTACAACATGTCCTTGGACACTTCAGTCAGCTTTCTGTCCTTCCTTCTTTAAGATCATGTTGGTGACATCTCTGAAATCCAGTGGTGTTTCTCAATAACTGATAAGGAAGTCTTTGAAGTAGCACCTCTCCCAAAACATGAAAATACTATCAATATCAAGGACAATACCAATCTACTGAATAGGGGCCAATGACTCTGAAGTCACACTTTGTGAAGTGTCTATGCTATACAAGCCCTTCCCGTGGTTTATGTCACCCGGAGAAGAGCATGTGAGAGCTGGACAGGGGGAAGGTAGGAAGGGGGCATGATGCAGGCATACTAACACTAAGAATAAAAATGGTGCTCAGATTCCTCTACAGTTTATTGTTACAGCAGAAGTCGTGGGAGACAGGAGAGCACCCTCCACCCATAACACACCGTGGTCAGAGCCCCAAGTAGCCCTTTCCACCTCTATGCCAAGCCCCAAGCCACCCTGCCCTACTTTGGCCTCTCCCCCCTCCCACTCTAGACACACACTGTCCAGACAGCTACCAGAGTTAGTGCAGCCAATGGCCCCAGGCCCCATCCTATTGCCCCAGCTCCAGTCCTTCCTTCAAACTTGTTCATTGCCCACCACCTCCCAGTCCAACTTCCATTCACACACTAGATATTTCTATCACATCCTGAGGACCACTATCCCACCAGCAAGCCTCCCTGACACATTCATTTAGGCCCATATCCTTCAGAAATCTGAAGGGTTAATGCGAAGCCATATCCACTTTGGTGAATGGAGACCCAGCACCAAGTCCCTTACCCTTGCAATGGGATGAGTAGGGAAGAGTCTGGGGTAGGCACCATGGACAACTACAATGACCTCTTATCCCTCATTTATGGACACCTAGATTAGGGAGAGGGGATGCATGCCCTTTCCACTTTAACACCAGAATGATAGAGAGGGACCATTTAGGGTTCTAGGTCCTTAAGGGATATTAAGACAACTCTCCCAGAAGCTGAGGGAAATCACAGACTAGAGGTCAAGGTTAGGGTAGCAATCAAAGATCAAAGTCATCTTTCCCAATGATCTGCTCACCTTTACTTGCTCACTTTGGCCCAGTGCCCTATCCACCTCCCAGGTTAGTGCTGGGGAAGGTGAGGGCTGGGTCCCACAACAGACAACATGGGCCATTCAACAGGAGACCTCCATGGTGTGCCCCGGGGGCCCTGAAGGGAGAGTCCCAGACTTGCTGCTCTGGGACAGGGTTTGTGAGCAGGACCAGTTGCCATCAATAGATGCCATACTAGTCAGAGAGGCTGTGCGAGACCAAGACAGGAGAGTCATGCCAGATGAGACCACCGTGGAGAAAGATAAGCAGTCAGCCAGAGAGGAGGTGGGGAAGAGAAGCCAGAAACTCAATGGGGTGCAAGAGTTACGAATGGAGCCAGGGGGCCTGTGAGCTCAATTTGGCAGATGGTAGTTAAGTTCTGGAATTAGCTAAAATGGTTCCTTCCCTCAATGGTCATGCCTCATTTTTGCAGCAATCCCTTGTGATAGCTTTCTTATCCCCATACTCACTGTAGCCCATGCCTTGCAGGAAGTACTTGAAGGCCTCAGTCAGCTTGCCTGGCTGGGGAAGTAAGAGGAGGAGGAGGAGGTG